GCACATCATCCGCTCTGAAGAAATGTCACTTACTGATACTTGCCAGAGGCGCAGAACTGAAAGGGGCCTCAGAGGTTACCTAGATCTGGCCCAGAGAAGGAAGAGATTTTTCGCATTGTCACTGAGGCTGGGGATGGCTGGGTGGGAACCCAGGGTTCTCGCAAGTGGTACCCAGAGTCACAGCAGGAAGGAGCACAGTGGTGAAGGGCACTGACCGTGGAATCAGACACTGGGTTCAGACCTTGTCCTGCCCTTCCCAGCCATGTGCCTCAGGCAAGCCACTTCACCTCCCTGAATTTCGTTTTCATTAGCCAGTGAGTGCTGTCAGTCATCCACACGTCACAAGGCTGTCAGTGAGCTTATTAAAACTGGCTTACTGATCACTCGCTCTGAGCCAGGCATGGGCTAGGCGCTGGAAGTCAGAGTGGTGTAAAGACAGATAGGTCCTTGTCCTTGTGGAGCTTAGTTTCTGCTGGGTAGAGGCCGACAATAGAAAGAGTTTCAAAGAGCTCTCAGGAAAATGGAGCAGGGGAAGGGGTAGGGCTGGACTGGGGAGGGCGGTGCCGGCATTAGCCATCGTGGTCTGGGAAAGCCTGTCTGAGGGGCAATATTTGCACCACAACCCAGGAGATGAGGAGCCGCTCTGGAAGCTCTGGGCAAAGCAGCCTCCAGGAAGAGGAACAGCAGGTGCAAAGGCCCTGTGGCAGGAGCGTGCTTGGTGTGCTGGAAGGGAGGTGGGGTTGGTCCACAGGGGCCAGGCTGTGTGCCCCCTTCGGGTCCCAGTGAAGAGTTTACATGTTCTTCTATGTGGGTTGGGGATCCCTAGGAGGTTTTTAGCAGGGAAGGGACACAATTAATTTATATAATCTTTCTTTTTTTTTTTTTTTTTTTTTTTTGAGACGGAGTCTCACTCTGTCTCCCAGGCTGGAGTGCAGTGGCACGATCTCTGCTCACTGCAACCTCTGTCTCCTGGGTTCAAGTGATTCTCCTGTCTCAGCCTCCCAAGTAAGTGGGACTACAAGCATGTGCCACCATGCCCAGCTAATTTTTGTATTTTTTAGTAGAGACGGGGTGTCAGTGTGTTAGCTAGGCTGGTCTCAAACTCCTGACCTCAGGTGATCCACCTGCCTCGGCCTCCCTAAGTGGTAGGATTGCAGACATGAGCCACAGTGCTTGGCAAATTCATATTTTTAAAGGATTCCTTTGGCTGTGGTGTGGAGGAGAGGTGGGTGGGGAGAACATGGCAAAGGGAGGGGGCTGTTGAGTTGTGCAGGCTGGAGGGGACAGTGGCCCAGCGGGGCGGTGAGGAAGTCCGATGAGCAGGGTGAGATAATGTCATCAACTCCTCCACCTGGTCTGGTGCAGGCCCCACGAATGGAGCTGTGCTTGAGCCCGGATGAAGTTTCTAGCTCTTGAGAGCAGCATCCTGGGCGCTTGGGTCATGGGCGTGGGTGTGTGCTGCGGAGGACCTGGCCTGGGTGGTGTGTCTCTCTTCTCCTTCTCCTGTCTCTCTCTCTCTGTCTCATTTTCTCTCTCCCCAACCCCCCCTCTCTCTGAGAACTGCTGCTGCTATTACTCCCAAAAGACTTTACGTAATTCTGGCCCAGCTCCCTCCTCATGATGTCATGTGCTGAGTGGAGTCTAGGTCACTCCATCGCATGCTACGGTCGTGGAGAAAACAGACTCTGGCTCCCCTGGCATGACGGCCAGGCATAGACCCTCCCCATGCTGGGGTGGGGGTGGCTAGGCTTCTGGTGTGTGGAGGTGCAACCCCTGCCCAGGGCCTTTGGACAGCTCAGGTAAAGGCCTGGGCTTCCTACAGTGGCCCTGGCTGGTGAGGGGTGGGGGTTGTGCTGGGAGGCCTGTCCCTCCGGAGCTGGGGGCCTCTCCCCTGGAGCCCAGGCCCCAGCAGAAAGAGGCAGGCAGTCCTGAGGTCAGCCCCTGTTACTGCATTGCTCCTCCGAACCTGTTACCTACACTGTAAAATGGGGACAAAGACACCCAATCCTGATGGGTGGCTTCAGTGGGCTCTAAGGGGAGCATAGCAGGAGCGGTTCTGAGGACAGAGGTCCAGGCACGTGCTGGGAGGGGCTGAGAGGGAGTCTTCCCCTTGGGCCTATGTGGGGTTGTCTGGACCGCAACTCAGTGGCTTCATCTACTTCCTTCATCTCCCGCCCCTGCCCCTCTGCTAGGCCCCACTTCCTAATCCCAAGGAGAAGGAGAATAGGATCGAGCCATTCCGCCTTGCACAGGTAGGGAAACTGAGGCTCAGAGTAGGGTATGGCTTTCTCAAGGTCACACAGCCTAGGATGGCAATGCCAGAAGGAAACTAGACCCAGTGAGCCCCCCCCACCCAGGCATTTTCTGATGCCCTTCTCAGTGTGGGATGCCTGCAGCCCTGAAGGATGTTGGGAAGTTCAGGTCACAGCACAAGACCGAGGGAGGGAAGCTCTGCTCCTCCACCCTTGCAGACACATCCCATTTCCTTCCACTGTATTTTTGTTTTTCTTTTCTTTTGGGAAATCAGTTTGGCTTTGCGGTTTGTAGGAAGCTTAAATAACAGTTACTGAGTTTCCCCTCCCTAACCTCTGAGAACAGAGTGCTAAGGTCTTCACAGCATCATTTTGTATAATCCTCACAATAGCTATCGAAGGTTATACCCCCATTTTACAGGAGAAGAAACTGAGGCCAAAGGTCATATGGTTGGGGCCAGGGATTCCTATCCAGATTTGTGTACTCCAAAGCTCTCACCTTTGCCCCTCATCAGAAGCACCTGAAATTGTTCTGGCAGCCCCATAACTCCTCATCCTCCGTGGGGCTTGAGCTTTGCGAAGATATGGAGGAAGCAAGTTTCAGAGCTGCTGTGATGTTTGCCCCAGGGAGGGAGCTCACAGAGGAGATGACAGGGAGTTTGACTTAAGGGGAGCAGGGAGGATCAAGGGCTTGCACCCCCACCCACCGCCATCTCAGCGTTGGTTAATATCCCCAACTCTGTGTTTTCTAGGGCTGGGGGGAGGTGGAGAGAAGAATGTGCCTCCCCTTGTTTCTAGAGTTACTAAATTCTTGTTAGATCTTTAAATTTTATGTAAATTCTTCTTTTTTTCCCTCTTGGAAAGGTGGGTATCATATTTTAATTAGTAGTGGTGTCAAAGGAGGGCTAGATTAATTATTGGAAATCTCAAGTTCCAGATGGTTTTAATTTTCACAGCAGGGCACCAGGGTCTATATTTGTAAATTTTTTTATTAAAATCATACCTAGTGCATTTTAAGGGCACTGAGGTATACTCTTTGTGGCTCCAAGGGTACTGTACTCAGGAATTTGGGGCTATGATTTTTGTTATGGAGAAGCAAGTCCCTTGTCACTGAAATTAAACTTTTGTGGGCGAGGGAGGGGCGGGGGCTACTAGGAAATAAGGGGTCAGGGAAAAGAGTGCACGAATTTCGAGGGGGGCAGTCACAGGCAAAGAAAGCAGCTGGTGTTGGGGAGTCAGGCACAGGGTGTTTAAGACCAGAGAGGAGAGAGAGCTCAGAGAGGGCATGTGGCCTACCCAAAGTCACACAGCAGCCTCCTACTGGGGAGAAAAATGTGGGCTGGCACAGGGAGAGGAAAAGATGTGGACATAGCATGCCTAATCAAGGGACAGTTATACTCTTTTGCTGCTTGATGTCCTTGTTCAGGCAGGGCTTTGGGGGATCAGTTGTAGACCCCTCATCCTGAGGGAGGCTCTGTGAAGCATAGATGGCGTAGCATGGGGTCTCCCACCCTGGACCAGGGGAGACTGGGGCTTCAGTGGGATTTCTGGGCTCCTGGGAGTTAGTTACCCTTCAGCTTTGGTGACCTCCATGGAGGGCAGTGGAATATCCTGCATACCTTTTCCCAGAGAGCTCACACCTCACTCTCTGTGCCCTTCCTGCAATAAGTAGCCAGGGTAAAGGTGCCAGGGGGCACTAGCAGGGGCTCCAGATGTTTGCTGTGCAGGAAGGGGCCACAGACCCAATTTTTGGAGAAAATAGCTTGACATTCCGAAAGGCAGGGGAGGTGTGCATGCATATGCCTGCATGTGGGTCTGTCTGTCCCCTTGGTCCCCTTAGCTGTTTCTCTGTGCTTTTTTTTTTTTTTTTTTTGAGATAGAGTCTCACTCTGTTGCCCCAGCTGGGGTGCAGTGGCGCAATCTCAGCTCACTGCAACCTCTGCCTCCTGGGTTCAAGTGATTATCCTGCCTCAGCCTCCGAGTAGCAGGACTACAGGTGCACCACCACGCCCAACTAATTTTTGTACTTTTAGTAGAGACAGGGTTTCACTGTGTTGGCCAGGCTGGCCTCGAACTCCTGACCTCAGGTGATCCTCCTGGCTCGGCCTCCCAAAGTGCTGGGGTTACAGGTGTGAGCCACTGTGCCAGGCCCTCTGTGGTTATTTGTGTGGTATCTGGGGAATAGGATTATTTGTATGGCTGGCTGTCCTGATTTGGGGAATGGCATTATTTTTCTGACTGTCTGTCTTGCTTTGGGTTTGGGGGAGGGGATTATTTGGACAGCCATCTATCCCTTTGGGAGAATGGTCTTTTTGTATGGTTGTCTGTCCTGCTTTGGCAAATGGTTTTTTGCATGGTTCTTTGTCCTGTTTGGGGGAGCTGAGGGGCTAGGGAAGATGGGTGATGATGGGGAGAAGGGCACACTGGTGTTTAGCCACAAGGGGCAGAACTCCCTTCTGGCTGGAGCCATCTGGATCCCAAGTGGAGCCAAGAGAGGCTGGAGGGAAGGGAACAGGTGATAGGTAGCTTCCATCTCCCTGCCTGAGGGGCAGGGCACTGCTATTTCTCTGATTTCTCTGTGGTTATTTGTATGGCATCTGTCCTGTGGGACTTGTTAGGCCTCCCCATGCCTGATTTTGGGGGAGTGAGGGACCAAAGATAGGACCAGGGACCATGTCACTCAGCCTTTAGACCAAGCCATTGCCCCTGGTAATAAAATGTGTCTTGTTTTCCTTCTGCCTTTCGAAGCCCAGCTCCTAGTGGAGACAGACACCTTCGGTAGTCAAGTCCGGATCAAGGGCAAGGAAACGGAATTCTACCTGTGCATGAACCGCAAGGGCAAGCTCGTGGGGAAGGTGAGTGATGGCCTGGGACTCCAAGAAACTTAGGGTTCCCCTCTGGCAGCTCTGGGAGCTGCAACAGTGTGTCCAGAGCATTGTCAGCCCCAAATGGAAACTGTAATCTCCTCCTTTCACCCTGCCCCATCCCCACTCCTCTGCCCTGGCACTTGAGCTCACCAGGCTGAGGAATTCAAGGCTATAACTTATGGTGCACATAGGTCCCTGGTCTCTCCTGCTGGGTGTGGAGCTCTGGCTTTCTTGGACATGGGAGAAAACTTGAGGGGCTCTGGGGCACCCCAGCTATGTGTTCCTGAAGTCTGGGAACAAGGAGCTGGCAAGCCAAGGGCTGTGGCTGCAGTGATCATTTTAACAATTGCCAGGGGCTGACAGTGCCAACGGTCCTGTAGTAGTGGGCTCCGGAACCCGGCCGCCTCTTCAGTGCTGGGCTTCATGGTTCTAGCATTTCAGGAAGATTTTATTACTTTGAAACTGGCAAGAGAGCTGCAGGTAACAAATTAGGGTGGAGGCAGGTAGGGGTGACCCTCAGGTGGGGGGGACTTCGGGAGGGGGAAACCCACATGCAGGGGGACCTGAGTCTTCAATGATGCTGCTCCTCAGCACCCCAGTTTGTTTGCTGGGTGCACCTGTTTGCAAAAGTCACGAACTGGCTTCCGTTGGTGTTTGAATGAAAGGTGTTATCCACAGGAGCTCTGTGGTAGGGTCAGGCCCTCTGTCCCTTCTCTCTGCAGGGACTGACTCACTCCCATATCCAGCTTGTATGACTAGGGTTGAGGGGGTTCTGCCTGGACGGGTGGAGGGGGGTGGAGGCTAGGCCCAGATTCCAAGGGGGAGGGGCTTCTGCTTGGGGGCAATGCCCTGGCTGATTATTTGTGGTTCATTACATCTTGCAGGGGGTGAGGCCATGGTTTTGATTTTTTGAATCCCCCGTCTTATCCCTCTCCCCCTCGCCCCACACCCAAGAGGCTGGGGAGGGTGTAACAGGCCAGGGATCCTAGCCAGGGCATTGTCGCATTATTTTGTTAATAATTACGGTCACAATAGCCTCCGCTAATTGAGCACCGACTTTCTGCCTGGCACTGAACTGAAAATGAGTCCCAGGAGGCTGCCACGGCTTCCATCCCCATTCCACAGATGAGGAAGCCGAGGCTCGGCCACGCCCGGGCACTTGTCCCAGGTCCCACACTAGAGCTCCACGGGATTCAAAGCCGGGTTTGGAAGGAAAAGATTCCAGCCGCACTGCCCACACCAACTGAGGCTTCTCAAAGAGCAACATAATAGTAATCGGCAGAGCGAGCCTCCGGGATGCCGAGGAGTGGTTTTAATTAGTGATTCACTTTCCGCCGTTACGAGGCCGGCCGGCCGGCGACGGGGGTCGGGGCCGGGACCGCGGACCGGGGCGCGGGCGCCGGGTCCCCCTGGCCTGGCGGGTCCCCCTGGCCTGGCCGACCGTTTCCTGTGGCGGCGCGGCCCAGCCCCGCGTCAGGCGCTTTGTTCTCCTGCCCGCCTGGGCCGCCTCCCAGGCCCAACCTGCTTTGAGTTTTCGGCTCGTTTTTCTCTTTCTCCCCCAGGAGGGGCCGGCGGCACCCGCTAGTGCCCGTGCCCACGCCGCGGCCCGCCCTCGCCGTCTGCGCGCGCGGTTCCCGGCATCCTGACCCCAGGAGCGCCGCGCGGGGGTCAAAAGAGCAGCCCTGTCCCCTCGGGCCGCCCCCCCACCCCGCCGCCGGCCGCCTCCCGCCGCCTCCCGCCCTCGGGCTGGCCGCTGAGTCACCGCTTCCACAGGAGCCGGCTCCGATTTCCTGCCCCCTCGCCCTCTCTCCCGTCATTAATATTGGTGACGGTTCAGCTGGCGCGGCGCGCCCTGGCGCAGCGGAGGGAGGCCCGGCCCCGGCCCCCGGCGTCTCCCCCGCTCCCGCCCCGGCCTCCACGCCCGCCCCCCAGCCCCTGCCAGCCTCCTGTCTTCTGCCCCTCTCCCTCGGGGGTGGGACTCAAGGGCGCCCCCAAATCCACCTGTCTAGGCTTGGCCTCCGCCTCGCCCAGCGCCCCTCGTTCTCTGGCCCCCGAGGCAGGAATCTGGCTCCTGGGCTGCCGCCCCCGCCACAGCCTCCCTGCCCAGCCGGGCCTCGGGTCCTGGGAGTCCCCTCCTTTTCTAACCCTGCCACTGCCTCTGTTCTGCCCCCTACCTTCCCAGAAGTCGTTGTCCCAGCTGCCTGGTGTGTGGCTTCTGCACCTCCAGGCCCTTCCCCACTGCCCACCTTCGGCTTCCTACAGCTCTTACGGCATTGGAGGGCAGCACATGGCCTGCGCCCACCCCCACCCAACTCCAGACCCACCCATGGGTCTTCCCACCTTGCTATGGGACACTGAAGGCCCTGGGGAGCCTCCCCGGGCACATGCATTCCTTATGCCCCAGATGCATGGCACTGGGCACCACTGTTCCCTGGATGGGGCCTTTGGGCACTGCCCATGCTGTGCCCTCTGCTGGAACTGCCCTTTCTTCTGTCCACCTGAGTCCTGGCTCATTATTCCCGGACGCCTCCGTCAGCCCACCCACCCTGGAGCCCCAAAGCCCCTTGAACAGCCCTCTGTTACCTGTCTGCTGACCTGGGTGGTCGCCGTCTGTCTTTGTGCCTGCATCCCTTGTCACACTGGGAGCTCCCTGAGGGCGGATTCTGCATCCATTCATTTGAGTTCTGCATACCTGGCCAAAGGGCTGCTGGGGCACCAAAGAGAGAAACATGGTTCCTGCTGTCTGTGGATTGACTCTTAAGCCACAGCCTGAATTGTCCAAATCAAGCCAAGGGAGTCAAAGCGCCCTGGCCTTGCCAAGCCTCGGCGTCCTCATCTGTAAAATGGGAATGATAATCTGAGCACTTAGTAGACAAGTAGGCACTTGCTAACTGTTAGTCCCTTCCCCCTTTGAAGCCGGGTTACAAGTCACTTCTTCACCTGTGGTAGTGCCTCTTCTCAGCTCCAGTGCCGAGTCCTTTGGAGTGGCTCAATGGGACAGCTTTGGGCCGTCTGTGTGCCAAGCCTGCACATCCCTGGCCACAGCAAGGGCACCCACATTGAGCCCTCAACAGAGCTTTCCAGAGGCTGCAGGACCTTGCTGGAGTTACTCTTTCTGCCGAATTGTACCAATCAGCTGCCAAAGCTCTGTCCCCAGCTCCTGCATGCTCAGGTGGCCCCTCTTCTCCTTGCTACCCCTCTGGAACCTATGTCACCAGGTCCAGGAGGTGGCGCTTCCTTTCATTTTGTAAACAGTTGTTGAGTATCTAGCATGATGTGCTAGGCACAGCCCAGGTTGTAGTTTTCTCATCTGCCCCCACCTGTTTCAATCACTGAGTCCTTTTTGGGGCAACAGAGTCACAGACCTTTTCAGGGCAGGGGAGCGCTCTGCCCACCAGCACATCTTTGTTAAGATGGCTTTGGTTGCAAGTGGCTGAAATTCAACCTAAAATGCCTTAAGCAAAAAAGAGAATGTAGGGCTTATATAGAAAAAACAAACAAACAAACTAAAAAAAACACAGTCCAGGGGGTGGCTCTAGTTTTGGGTAAGACGGGATCTAGAGGGCAGATGATGTTATCAGGATTCCATCTTCAGATCAAATAGAGGGACTAGGGCTCCAGTTCGGGAAGCAAGAGGTTGGAGGTGGTATCAGGGGAGAGATCAAATTCTGCTAAATCATCAGGGTTCTGGGATGGGATATTCACTTACTCTTTATATACTGATGCTTCTGCCTTGCCTGAACCAATTGAGTCAGAGTTTCTGGGGGTGGGACCTAAGCACAGGTGTTTCTGGAATCTCTCTGTGTGGTGAGCAGGGTCATAGCGGTAGCCAGGGGCAGAGGCATGTGTCAAGCCCAAGTGTAGCCTGCTGTTAACTTCTTACCCATTTTTGCCTGAGGTCATGGAGGGGAACTTGTGATCATCATAGCCCCAGGGCTGGCTCCCAAGATTCGTGAATTTCAGCCGAAAGCCCAGCTCTTCCACCCTCTTAAGTAAGAATGCCCAGCTCTTCCACCCTCTTAAGTAAACCCAGACGTGTATTGAGCCTGCATGCCTGGCACTGGGTAGCTCCTTGTACATCCAAAACCTTGCTTTGTGCCAATGGTGGCTATGTGGGCCTGGGGGAGGTGAGACGTTTTGACGGGCAGCACCTGCTCCTTCTCACCCTTTCCCCTTTTGGACCTCTCTGGAACTGGGCAGAGGAGAAGTGAGCTGCAGTGCTTGGTTGAGACCAGGCTAGGGCACGGTCACATCCCAGCTCTGCCACTTACAAACTCCATGACCTTGGACAAGCCTGTTTGCTTCGGAGCTCTGCTTTCTTCTACCAAGTAGAGTCAAAGAAGAGGATGAAATGAAATGGAAGTAGCAATGTCTGGCCTATAACTGGCATTCAATAAATGGTTAATGAATGAGTAGGGAGACCAAGTGGGCTAGGCGATTTCTAGGGCTCAGCTTGCTCTGTCTCCCTAATCAGTGTATCCCAGGAGGGACTTCTCATAGCTTAGGACTCTCTCTGGGACATTTATAACAGATCCAGGAGGGAGAGTCTGTGTCCTTCAGGAGGAAACCCCTTTCATGTGTCATCCCACCATTTCCATCCTAATGAAAATGTGTTCAACCCCAAGTTCTCAGGGCACCCCAGTCTTGAGCTAAGGCCTGTGCTCAGCAATAAGAGAACTGAGAAGCAGCCCGACCTCATCAGGCACTTGGGCTAATGCGGAAGTGGGCGGATGTGGAATTTCTCTGTTGGGTTGTGGGGAGGAGGAATGGGGTTCAGAAGATGGAGTATGTGAGCCCAGTAAGGCTTGACGCTCTTGAAGGAGGAAGAGGAATTGCCCAAGGAGATAAAGCGTAGTCCTGGAAGGCTTCCCAGAGGAGGCAGTTGTTGAGCTGAGCCTGGAGGGCTGAAAGCCATTTTCCAGGCAGTGGCAGGCATTCTAGGATTGGGGAGCATCATGGTGTAGTCTTTGTTCTGTTTGCTCCAACTCTTTGGTTGAGACCAGGCAAAGAACCTGGATTCAGGTTGGACAGACAGCTTCCAGAATTTTCCATGGGGTACCCAGAGCCCAGGGACCACTCCCCTCCACCTGCCTTGCACACTTGCCCTGGCTTTCCTCACAGGAGACCCTCACTGCTCACGCCACCCGTACTGTCCTCTGGGTCCCATGTATGTGTCCCCGGTCTGCCCCTGCCTGTTCTGCAGCCTCCTCGAAAGATCTCATCCTCCAGAGAGTGTTTTCTTACCCTGCCTGTCCCTTTCTGCGAAGTTCAGCCCTTGGTCTGCAGGCCTAAGCTTGCCCTCTGCTCAAAGGTGAGTCTTCCTGGAAGCCTCAGCCTGTTTTCCACTTCAAACAAAAGGCTGGAACTCACACCTCAGTCTCCACACACAGCCAGACCGCTGGGCTTCCAGCTTGGCTGGGCATCCGTCCGTAACGAGGAGTGGGCCCAGCCTAAATTTGGAGATGTTAGTTGGAAACTCGAGTGCTGCTAATTCAGGCCTTCCAACTTTGTGTGTTTCCCACTCTTCCCCATCGAGCAATTCGGCTGTCTCAGAGAGGAGACTGAAGCCCTGCCTCCCCACCACCCTGTGTCCAGATCAGATCCAAGGGAGGACGCCAGCCCTGTCGGGAACAGCTGCCCTTCAGGAGTAATCTAGCAGGCTCCTACTGAGTGTCAGATTCATTTATAAGCATCACTCCCACAATGTCTCTATGATGCAGAAGTCGTTGTTCCCATTAGGTAGATGAGGAATTTGAGGTTTACAGAGTGGGACTGACTGGCCTGAGGTTATACAAGGAACTGTTAGAGGTCATTCAGTTTCTGACTCCAAATCTAGTGCTCTTTGCCCAGCATACCCAGACTCCCAAGAGAGTTCACACATTGGCCCAGGAGCCTGAGATCCTACAACCGACGGCACGGTTGGGAGTTCAGCCATGTGAAATCTCTTATTTTTAGTGACCCCCACCTTACTTCATACTAAGTATGAAAATGCACCACATCCCACGTTACATGTAATTTATATTTAACTAGATCAAAGTGGAGTTGAGTTACAGCTGAGTAGCTGATTTAATGTCAGGTTTTGTGCAAACCCATCAGGACTCATTTCTGTTGTAAGTGATAGAATGCAGGATCACCTGGTTTCAAGGAAATGAGCCATTATTGGCCCACATAACCATGAAGTAACTTGAGCTTCAGATGTGACCGGATCTAGAGCCCAAATAATGTGGCCAGGATGTAGTTTCTCTCCTTCTCTCCCTCTTGGCTTTGCTTCATCTGTACTGGCTTCACTGTCAGACAGGATCTCCCCTCATGGTGATAAAGTGGCTGCCTCTGCTTCAGCCTTACAAACTCATCCAGTTTAAATCCACCTATGTTTGGGGTTGCCTAGAAGATGTCTCAAGGAACACTCTGATTGGATGGCTTGGGTCACATGCTCACCTATGAGCCAGTCACTGAAGCCAAAGGGAAAACAGTGTCTGGATGTCGTGCTCTGGTAGGGATGAGGTGGGGCTCCTGGGCTATGAGGGTGGAGAGTGGGGAAGGAATAGATTTCTGAATGGCAGTGGGAGTCTGTTACCTAATTGGAGGGTGGGGAAAGATGCAGGGGCCAGTAACAAAAGTTTACTCTACAGATCCAGGAAGTGAAGGCTCTCTCTCTTGTGCTGCCCCATGCCCCTTGTACCTGCTGTCCTCTTTCTCTCCTCCTCCTGACCAAGACTCTTTGCTTGGCCAAACTAGCGTCAGCCTCCTGATCCTTCTCTTACGCCTATCTGTGCACTTCTTTGTAAAATCCAGTTTTAGCAAGAGCCTCGCAAAGACAGTTTAGCAAGAACCCCCCACTCTCGATATCTGATCGGGGTCCTCATCCTTCTCCATCCCCCAGGTGATGTCTGATCTCCCTGGCCTGTCCTCAGCAAAAATCCTGTTAGGTGGCTTTAGCCAGAATCCCCCGTACCCTCGTCATTTTCCATCCTGTTCCTTGGCTGTAAACCAAGGAGCACCCCTACCTGCCCATGCCGTATTCAGAGTTGAGCCCAGTCTTTCTCCCCCACTGCAAAACCCTGCAACGTTGTCCCTACAACGATCAAGGTGGTCCTGAATGAACCTTCCTTACTGTGCTTTAGCAAGCATCACTGAGTCATATTTTTCTTGAACACTCCCCCTTTCTCCCCTGCAGCCCGATGGCTCCAGCAAAGAGTGTGTGTTCATCGAGAAGGTTCTGGAAAACAACTACACGGCCCTGATGTCGGCTAAGTACTGTGGCTGGTACGTGGGCTTCACCAAGAAGGGGCGGCCGAGGAAGGGCCCCAAGACCCGGGAGAATCAGCAGGACGTGCACTTCATGAAGCGCTACCCCAAGGGGCAGCCGGAGCTTCAGAAGCCCTTCAAGTACACGACGGTGACCAAGAGGTCCCGTCGGATCCGGCCCACACACCCTGCCTAGGCCATCCCGCCGCGGCCCCTCAGGTCGCCCTGGCCACACTCACACTCCCAGAGAACTGCATCAGAGGAATATTTTTACATGAAAAATAAGGAAGAAGCTCTATTTTTGTATATTGTGTTTAAAAGAAGACAAAAACTGAACCAAAACTCTTGGGGGGAGGGGTGATAAGGATTTTATTGTTGACTTGAAACCCCCGATGACAAAAGACTCATGCAAAGGGACTGTAGTCAACCCACAGGTGCTTGTCTCTCTATAGGAACAGACAACTCTAAACTCGTCCCCAGAGGAGGACTTGAATGAGGAAACCAACACTTCGAGAAACCAAAGTCTTTTCCCAAAGGTTCTGAAAGGAAAAAGAAGAAAAAGAAAAAGAGAAAGTAGTACTCTGCCCACCAACAAACTCCCCCTGACTTTCCCAATCCTCTATCCCTGCCCCAAACTCCAACAAAAATCGCTCTCTGGTTTGCAGTCATTTATTTATTGTCCACTGCAAGCTGCCCCGAGACACCGCGCAGGGAAGGCGTGCCCCTGGGAATTCTCCGCGCCTCGACCTCCTGACGACAGACGCCTCGTCCAATCATGGTGACCCTGCCTTGCTCGCAGTTCTGGAGGATGCTGCTATCAACCTTCCGTGACTCACGTGACCTAGTACACCAATGATAAGGGAATATTTTAAAACCAGCTATATTATATATATTATATATATATAAGCTATTTATTTCACCTCTCTGTATATTGCAGTTTCATGAACCAAGTATTACTGCCTCAACAATTAAAAACAACAGACAAATTATTTAAAAAACCATGAGGCGAGTGGTGGCTGGTAGTAGCGGGGGGGCAGTGTGGCCTCTGTGTCTCCTGCTTTCTGTTTGGTCTGTGGTCTTTGCACTGAGAGCTGGGGCCTTGCACATTCATTCATTCATTCATTGAAAGATTCATTTGACATTCACTATGCACTATGCACCAGGCACTGAGAAGGCAGCCTTAGAACAGATGGAAATCCCTGCTTGCAGGGAGATTCCATTCTAATGGGTCATTGATTCAGTGACCGCTTCCGTCATTTGTTCATATGCGTTGACTCATACCTCTCCTGTGCCAAGGCTTGATTCTAGGCCCTGGGGATTTATCAAAGAACATGGAAAAAATCCCGGCCCTCAGGGAATTTCACTTATAGGAATTCATTGATTCATTTCTTTATTCATTGATTTATTGATGGATTCATCCATTCAATATATATTTCTTAGGCACTTCCTAAGTGCCAGGCAGTCTTCTGAGTACTAGAAATTAATAAGAATAAAACAGACAAGAAACCATGCCTCTTGGAGCTTGCAGTCTAGGGATTAATTGATTGAGTCACTTGTGTCATCCACATCAGTGTTTTGCCAGGCACAGGCTGAACACGGAAATATGGTGGGAGCATTTAGGTCAGCTGGGGACCTGGTGTTTCTGCAAACTCTCATGGGCTGGAGCTTGAGGAATCTGGTGATGTTACCTTCCAAGAACCCACCTTCACGACCTATTTCCCAGGGCCTGGCCCAGGATGTCAGGGAGAGGCCAGGTTCGTCTCGGGGTTGAGGCAGATTGAAGGTTGGTGAGTCCTCTGTCCTGAGGTTTGGGCTGTGTGAGCGTCAGGCTTGGGGTGGGGGGCTGTTTCTGTTTTTCTCCCTCCGCTTGGTCTCCAACCTTAGCGTTGGAACAAACCGTATATTCCTGGTGGGGCAGGAGGTGGTCTGAGGCGGAAATCACCTCTGCTGCGGGGGTCCTGTGGCTGTCACCTGCCTCCCTTGAAAACTCCCCCTCCAGGGCTGGTCAGAAGAAGTCCCCATGAGACCCTAAGGAGCGGTGGGGGAGAGGCAGTGGGGAGGGGCAGGAGTGCCTTCTCTGCAGGCTCCTGGCTGGGGTGAGTTTCCACTTCTTCTGAGCACAGCTCTTGGTCTTGACCTTGCTGTCTGTGTTATGAACCCTTATCCCTTCACCCCTGGGCCCTGTCCCGAATGTCTTTGGCTCACCCTTCTGTCCATCACAGCACATTTCCGTAGAGTTTTGTGAAGCTCTTTAGCTGTACAATCTCATGGTGTTCTCAGGATACCATTATCATCCCCATTTTATAGATGAGGAGACTGAGGCTCATAACATTATGCCACTTCTCGAAGATCACACAATAAGAAAGCCATCGGGCCCGTGTCCAAATCTTAGCCTCTCCAGGATGGCGATAGCTGCCACTTGGAGAGTGCCTGTCATCGTCGGAAGCTCTGCTGGGGGCTTCAGTAGGTGCGCTGCCTGGGTATCCATCAGACAACTCCCCTGCGTGGGAGGTGGGCACCCCTGCTTCCACACTGGACAGTAAACAGAGACTCCAAGAGAGCATCAGTTTGCCCCAGGCCTCACATTGAGCAGATGACAGCCTGAGACACTGGCTGATAATCACAGTGATTCAGGTTGTCATCGATGGAGAACCTGTTATATGTCAGCTGCGTTCACTCTTCCTGTATTATTTTATTTAATGAAAACAATAACCCTTAGAGATAGGTGTTTGCTAGAGAATTGTGGAGCCAGAATGCAATCAACCATCTGTTCATTCATCCAAAAAATATTTATTGACTTTACTCTGTACCTGACACTCTCCCAGGGGCTGAAGATATAGCAGTGAACTGCACGGAGCCCTGGCCCTCATGGGGCTTCCATACTATTAGGGAAGATCAATAATAAAACAGATGCAAAATATAACGCCAAGGAGTGACAAATCATGAGAAAAAAATAAAACGTGGTGAGGGGATAGAGGATGCTATTTTAGATGAGGTGGTCTGGGGGGGGGGCTTCTGGAGGGGGAGATTTTGAACAGGAAGGAAGCGAGGGAAGAGTGTTCCACAGAGAGTGCCACAGCCTGGATGTCGCGGGATGAAGGGGGCCAGAGGGGCTGGAGCAGAGTGGGTGGGGTTGGGGGGAGAAATGGAGGAGGCAGACCACGACCTGAGCTTTCACTTGGAGTGAGATGAGGAGCCACACGTGATGTGCCTCCCACCTAAAGGGATTGCTCTGGCTACTGTGTGGAGGAGGACCGGTGGCATCCAGCCCGGCTGCCCAGTGCCAAAGCCCAGGCACTCACTCTGATCTGATGCTGCTCCTGCCACTGGCTTTGATGCACCTCTGTCCGCAACACAGCTCAGGCCCCTGTCCTCCTGCACCCAAGACCTCGCCTTTGCTTCATCCCTGGAGGCAGTGGGACCAGCGTTGTTTCCTTGTCCTGCCTCTTAGTGTCCCTGACGTTGGAAGATGTGGGCCCAGCTTTTGTTTAGACAGAACTTTCTGGACATTTCCTGAGCTATGAGAAATATGTTGATGATAAGCACAGTGGGCGGGCGGGCACGTTTCCCAGCCATGGACGCTGTCGCCTTGGGAACGCTTGCTTGAGGTAGGAGGCTAGCGAGGGTTGCCATAGTCTGGCTGGGTAGGAACTCCAGGGAAAAATGTCTATGACTTTCAGAACAGTGGGCCCACCCCACCAGCTTTTGAGGTGGGCATTTTTAACCACACTTTATAGAGCAGGCTCAGAGAGTCACTTCGTTGAAGTCACACAGGCAATAAATAGAGGAGCTGGGGTTTGAACCCAGGCCTGTCTGTCTCTAGAGCTGTAACTTGACCCGAGTCCAGACTCCCGGAGCTCTGGGCATCTGTCCAGGGTTCCAGTCTTTCTCCCTTGGTGTCCATCATTTCCCAACCCACCAGAGGGTGGAGGCAGGCATAGACCACATTCCAGGTGCTGATGGCGGCCCTTCTCCACTCTCCACAGCCTCCCCAGGACGTTGCTGTCATAAAGACCACAGAGACATGAGTCCTGGAGCGCTTCAGTTTGCTTTTGACGTGGCCACTTTCCAGCTGCGTGACCTTGGGCAAGGCACGTCTTTTCTGTGAGTGGCGTCTATCTTCATCCCAGTTGATTCTACCTTGTGGGGCTAATGTAATGCTCCAGAGAGAGCAGGGCAAACACCTGGGGATGATTCCGATTCCTGCCCCAGAAGAGGGGCCCCGGGCAGGGGGCTTCATCCTCTCAGGCTTCTCTCTCCAACTCATTGTTTTAGAGAGGAGGGAGCCGAGACCAGAGAGTAAGCGACTTCCTCCAGGTCCCCCAGCGAGTTAATGACAGAGCCCATTAGATGATCAATTCATAGGAATGATAGTGGGTGAGGTGAGTCAGGAGCCCCTTCAGTGGCCAGCCAGGCTCTTCTTCTCATCCTTCCCAAATTTGCAGCAGAGGGCAGTGGGAAGGGGGTCCTCACCACCCCCCCCAGCCCTATCATGGTGCAGGAGGTGAGTGAAAGTTGACCCTTGCCCTAGCATTTCAAGAGACAGGCAGGCAAGAATGGTAGGAAGGGCCCCCTGAATCTGGGACAGAAGTGGATTTGGAGACAAGGGTATTCTCCCCACCTCCCCTGCCCTGTGCGTTGTTTGGATCCAGAGTCTTCTCCACCTGTGGCCACCCCTTGCCCTCCTGCTCTATACACACCTTGATGTCCACACATCCAGCTTCTAGCGCATGGTTCCTAGGGCAGAGTAAGCTCTTGCTCTCTCTTTTTTTTTCTTTTGAGATGAAGTCTCACTTTGTCACCAGGCTGGAGTGCAGTGGCGCGATCTCGGCTGCAACCTCCACCTCCAGGGTTCAGGTGGTTCTCCTGCCTCAGCCTCCTGAGTAGCTGGAACTACAGGCACGTGCCACCACGCCCAGCTAATTTTTGTATTTTTAGTAGAGACAGTGTTTCACCATGTTGGCCAGGATGGTCTCTATCTCTTGACCTTGTGATCCACCCTCCTCGGCCTCCCAAAGTGCTGGGATTACAGGCATGAGCCACCACGCTTGGCCAACTCTTGCTCTCTTAGCTGTTACTCTGATCACATTTGATTGGCACAAGAGCCTGGCAAGATAGATGTTAGGATGTATATTTTGTAGATGAGAAAACTGAGACCTGTAGAAGAATGTCATTGACCCAGATTCTATGGTAGAAAGTAACCAGGCTGAGATTTGAACCCAGGCCTCCCTGTTCCCACTTTTCCCTTTCCCAGCATTCCTCCCCATCTCTGCCTTTGCTGGGAGTGGAGTGGGGAATAAAGTTCCAAAGCTGAGGGCCAGAGAAGCAAGTGGCCCTACCAGGGTGGGTGGGGAGGGCCTTCCCCAGGGAGAGGCTGTGTTTTGGGAGTGTGTCACCAGTGCCAGCCAGGTGAGCCGCAGGTGTGGGGAGGCACAGCCCCAGGCTGCCTGCAGGACGTTGAGGGGATGCCCTTCTGCCTGCCTGCCCAGCTGGAGCCTAACAAGGCCAGGCTGGGATGGCCTGGGGCTTGAAAGCCCCATAAATGGGGCAGAACCTTCCCTCCCCAGCAGCAGGATTGGGGCTTCCAAAGAACAATAGTGAATTAGGTGCTAAAGATGTGAAGGCTGCTCCCCAACCATGCAATTAGCTTGCAGGTCTGTTACAAACATTAGGCAGCAGAATTGGGGACCAGATGGCGGCAAGGCTCACCCTTGCTGTCCCAAGACAGCCTGGCTTCCTGGCTGAGGTTTCTAGCTCTGGCAAGGAGGGGAGGCGGCAGGTAGACCCGGTGTATGACCCCCTGCAGAGCAAACAGCCATTAATCAGGCATTCCCTCCCCTCCCTTGGGCAGCTTCATGACCCAATTAGCACTTGCTAGAATTTCTGCCCTGCTCTTCCAGTCTCCCAGGCTGACCGCCCTGCAGCTGCAGGCCCCATGTCACCCACCCTCTGGGGTGGGTTGGAGGTACAGCCGATTTAAAAAGACTGTCACAGACCTCAG